ATATAAATATATAAATATATAAATATATAAATATATAAATATATAAAAACTTTTTAACTATTAATAAGAGATAGATAAACGTCTTTGCTGCTCGGTGCAATGGTCATCGATGTCGTTGCCGCGCTTGACGAGTTTGCTTAGAATTATCTAATGGGTATAGAAACTGAAATGTATAAATGGGGCTGTCTCTTTTTCATACACACATACACGCACACTCGTAAGTAACGGACGTACTCGTGTCTTTGTGTTTTGTAACAAACAAATCAGAGCTGGGAGATGTCCGGAGGAAGCGCTCGCGCAGACCCTCGCATGCAGGAAGGAGCCCCCGGCACGCCGGCGACGATCGGTCATCGGCGACGTCAGCCGTTCAGGATGTCACGATACCCGGGACCGGCCGCACGAGCGTTAATCAGATCCCGCAGTCGCAAACCGTTAATGCTCGTAAAGCGAACCCGGGGGGCGCGCTCTCCTCTCTGGGTGGCATACCGCCAGACGCGGGATACGACGAGGTCAGCTTTCCGCCGATGATGAGAAACGATTACGCGTACGCATCGTCCTCGGCGGACAGGCAATCGTCATCCAGGAGATCGGATCCCGAGGCCACCTTCGAAGATCCCGCGACCAGGCACAAGACCCCGAAGAAGCCGTCAGGTATTTTGAAGACGTCGACCGCTTACGGTCTAGATCAGCAGAAGTACGACGGGCAACAAACTGGGAAGATCGAGAGCAGCAGATCCGATAATTTGTGCGTTTATCGAACCAACGAGTCCTGGCATGTTCAGAAGAACGTACAGTGGGATTCCAAGGACGATAACGACGAATGGGACCCCGGCATCGATGAGAGCAAAGTTATAAGAGAGTTTTCTTATCAGTATATTAATCCTAAGAAAGTGCCGGTGCCATCGAAAGTGGACGATGAGGGCGAGAAATTCGAGACTATGAATTTGGTGCAATGCAGAATCAGGTCTTTCGAGATGAACATGGATGGCGCCAGTCCGGTGAAGGAGGTGCTGACCATGCAGGAGCCGTTAAAGGTATCGCCACTGCAGGCGACCGAGGCTCACGTCTCAAAGCTCGACTGCGCGAACAAGACATCGGCCGTCATACGTAGTTTCGCTCTGGGTGATGCGAATTCTCCGGAGAACGCTTCCAAACACAAGAGCGTCGAAGAGGGACACGCCAAGCAAGCTTCGACCGACAGTAACAAGTCGGTCAAAGATCTCTTGGCGGACTTTGAGCGGAAGTCACAACAGGTTAATCGGCCGAAATCTGAAAAGCGGCAAGAATCGAAGCATCGCGGAGATTACGGCGATAACGAAACATCACGATATGAAATTGCGAGTAATTTGGACCGTCGTGATAGAGACGATGAGAAGGAAAAACTCGTTGAGAAGAACGAAGCTATTACGCAACGTTTTGCTTTAGACACTCTCTATACAGATACTGTACAAATGCAAAATTCCGATGGATCTCTGAAACAAAACAAAATGACCAATTCGAAAGAGAGTCTAACAGATCAATGCGTGTCATCGACTGATTTGAATATTATCCCGAGTCCTAATTGTGCCAGAACGAGTATGACTGAATCCTTATTAACGCACAGTGATCAATTCTCCACTAACGATCTCATTAGTTCTGTTTTAAAGCAGGATGACATTAACAACGAGGATCACTATCTTCCCATGTCTCCCAGAAAGGCTATACTGGATCCTAACAGTGACGACAGGCCGAATCCTAAGATAATGGAGAGTCTGTTCGCCAGTCTCCAGCACGAGGAAAGTTCGTACGTGGAGATGGCGCAGAACGGGATGAATCGCTCCCTTTTGGCACCGAACGAAGGCGGCGGAAAGCACGATTCCGGCGATTATTCCACGCTGGACACGTCCCACTACGAACTTGTTTGTGTCTCGGATAACAAGATAGAGCCGGTATATATGGAGGTGAATCAATTGTCCGAGAAGGAGGACGAGGACGGCAGTAAAGCATCGTCGATGAAAAAGAGCAACGTCGGCGAGAATTCGCCGCATTCCAGGGGCGATTTGCCTGACATCTTAACGGCACTCAAATCCGATAGTTCTGACGCCGATGACGAGTCGTCCAAGGATCTGGATTCCATAGACGCGCCACGACATCCGCGATTTAGTCTATCTGACACCTTCCGACCGGCTTCTTACTATCTGGGAGCTAGCCGCAACATGATCGCGGAATTACACGACTCGTCGGACAGCGAGCTCGTATCGCCGCCGCCGATACCGACCACTCCACCGCCGCTGGACGATTTAGACTCGCTGGACATGCAGGAATCCTTGGAAATAAAGAAAGTCTCGCCGCAGGTGGCTATGGCCAAGGATAACGCGATGAACCGCGACTCGCCAAAGTCTTGGAACAAACCAGCAGGTCAAGTGGAAACGCACAGGCCACCGTCAAGGTTTTCCGACGCGACCATCAGCTCCACCTTTAGAGATAGCAGGATATCGTTGGAGAGCGCATCCGGAAGCGATTCGATCGAGCTCAGAAATCCAGAGGAGGAAGCTCGGCACAGACAATTGAAGAGAAGACCGGTAAGTGACGACGTTTGCGAGGTTCTGGACAGTCTGGACGAATTGGAATCGTTAGGAAGTCGTTTCGACACGAGCATCTTCCTTGATCAGTATATGGAGGAATTACAGGCTAGAGATGCGTTTAACGTAGATCTTTACGCGAAGGATCTGAGCTACAACAGCATCTATGGATTCAACGAGAACATGCTGGTGGTCGATAAGCTGCAGAAGACCACGTGTCAAGATCTATCGAGGAAGATGAAATTAATGTCCAGCAATCTCGACCGGCCGTTCGATTATTCCGGCAAAAACAAAACTGGCTCGGCGAGCAGCCTGCCATCCATGAGAGTGTCCGATCTACCGCCGACCCACCAACACTCGCAGTCCTTCACCGGTGACGCGCATTACGAGAACGTCACGAGCTTCTCGCCGTTTCGCGGTTCGCCGGCGGTTCGACCCGACAGTGAGCCGCCACGCGACAGCGTTCACAGGATGCAGAGCACGTCCCAGCTGCCAATCTCTCACAGCAGGGATTCCAGCTACTCGAACGCGTCGGCCGCGGCGTCCATCTCGACGTCCATGGCTTGCCAGAGGCCCGCGAGCGCTCAATCCTCGATGCACTCGCCTATCAGCGCGTCCACGTCCTCGGTGAATCACGGCAGCACGCTGACGAGTATGCTGCAGAACGTCAACGCGTATTCCGAGCAGAGGTTCCCGAATCATTCGAGATCCGCCAGTCACGACACGTGTGTGCGACACGTGCTGCCGACTCATCGATCGACCTCCAGCCAGGACTCGAGTCATTATCCCGGTTCAATGCCGATGCAACCCGTTCCGCAACAATCGTATTTGCCGAACGCCAGCGAGCAGCGTGCCCAGAGCGATCAATCGGGAGCACCCTATTATTATTCTGATCTCCAGGCGAGTGTCAACAGCGTGGACATGGAGATGACCAAACCAATGATCGGCCATACCTCGCGATTACCTCAACTGAACAATCAAAGGGACGACGCGGCGATCGGTTTGAACAAGCGAAATGATATCGGCCGTATAGTGAACCCGATCGCGCGGCAAATGCCGCGGCAGATTCAAGTGGACGACATAGACGAGGCTAGACGCATCGCCGCGGAATTGAGACGGACGACCTGCCAATTGCTGGGCGACAACAAAGCCGCTCTCGTGGACAAGAGAAACTTCTACGAGGCCGACACGCTACGCCGGGTCAAGTCTACTGATCCACTGCCAGATGTATCTCTGCCCGAGGCTAGAAACTTATATCCCCACGGACTTAGAGATAAGTCCGTTAATCCAGGCAACATCGATAACGCGGAACCGATGCACGTCACACAAGCGTCTCATCGTCGGTCAAGATCTCTGGAGGGATTACTCGACGACGTCGGTTTGCAAAATTTAGTGGAGCAACGAAACCGAGCTAACCGAGCGGCGGCAGCGGCAGCGACGGCGACAGCGACGGCGATTTCATCGCCTTCGACCAGTCAGATCGAGGCAACGCAGCAAAACTTGCCGTCATCCGGCAGTCATAACGCCATGACCGAGAGCAATTTCAATTCCGAGGATCCTTGGGAGCAGGATAGTCTTTGGTGCGAGAGTCTAAGGAGAGTGAGCCTGCGAAACGCCAGATCCTTGGATAATCTAGACAGTCCGCCGAGACCTGGAAGATCCGGTGACGCGAAGTCACGCGGCAGGATCACTCGGGGAGCGACTTATGTAAACGACAGTGTCGCTTTACGCAGGGACAACTGCGCGGAGGAATCTTCGTGCGGCGAGCGACCGCGAGTCAAGCGCAGGACGAACAAGGATCATCACACGCGAGAACGGTCGATCGTGGACGACGAGGACGTCGCTTACGAGACCCTGTCGATGGAAGTGACCGGCGCGGGCGGTTACGTGTGGGACCCGCAAAGCAAGACCTACCACAAGCCTACCGTTTCGGACAGGAATCATTTTTTAGAGGACGGCAACCTTCCCCCGGCTCGCTCGATCCCGGACGTCCGGATGTCCGCGACGTCCTTCGAGCTCGACCGAGAGAAGCTCCGCCAATGGGATTTGTTGTCGAGCGCCTGCTTACTCCAGGAGCAGCAGCGCACCTCGATGGCGGACTCGGGGCGAGGGTTGCCGGTCGTGGAACATCCTGGAGACGCTCACGATTCGCGGCTCGCCGTCGTCGCGGCGGCGGCGGCGACAACGACGATGAATGCGACGACGACAACGGTGATGACGACCGCGATACCGACGACGATGACGACGACGACGACGACGACGATAACGACAATGGGCACGATCGACAGCGAGCAAGTAGACGTTATCGTAAAGCCAGTCGATATCGCGGATGTACGCGACGTCTTGCCGACGAAGGTGCCGATCAAGAGGCAGGAGCCGTGTAAACGGGCTGCAGGTGAGTGGCTCCTCAACAACGCTGAGGTGTACAGACAGTGACTATACGTGGCCGTGTTCCAAATCGCCAGACTACCCGCCACACGACCGGCCGGCCGACTCCTCCCACGTGACCACGGATTCTAGTGCGATAGGTGTTTAATCCTAAATAGTAGAAGCTGTTATGTAAGCGGTGCTTTCACAAATATTCTTTCAGCGCCATAGAGACCTTGTGGCAAGTTTAATGAAAATTTGAAGATAATTCATCACTCGTCCCGTCATCTTAAATTTTCACGACCGAATATTTCGATAAATGATGCACGTCAGATCGAAGCAGATGATTGTCAATTTATCTTACTTTAATTGCCATCTATTATCAAGTGGTTCAGAAAGCATTCGATAATCTTGGGACATGTTCTATCTTGCGAAAATAAATGTAACTTTACCGTTTAAGCAGCAAAATAGACGCTTCGAAACTCCTTAGATGTTAAAAAATAGAAAATTATAATAAGTGCAAAAATATTGATTTAACTAACTGGTAAGCATCAGTTAAAGCTCGCTCTTTAGGATTAAACTCGATGTTTTCGCTACCAAATGTACCTGCGCTTGCGGTGGCTTGCTCAGCGATGCAGCCACTTCTTTGTCCTTGTTAATTATCGACCAGGCCGTGATCCAGTTCACATTTATTCATCGCGATTCTCTCTTTTTGTTTTTGCCAGACCAGTTTGTTAAATCCTAGGATCAGTTTGAATAATGCAGACGTAACTTTGAGCGACGCGGATGAAAGTTGTACGATCGATGCGACTTGGAACACGGCCTGGTGCGCGACTGTAAGTGTGTGTGTGCGTTTGCGAGACGATTAAAAACGCGGCTTGGTTCATCACAATTATTTACTGTGATTATTCAACACGGTGATTACAAGCAACATCGAATTTTCGCGATAAATGACAAACGATTAATTTATATGACAATAGCAACAAAATGAAGAAATAGCAGTAAAATATTGTTGCGCTATTAGAAAGTTATAACAAAGCTGCGACCGCGTATGTATGCGAATGCGTGTATGAGTGCATGTGATAATATTTTTAGAATATATGTACCATTTAAGATTTATTACATTACCGCCGAAAAATTGGTGTAAATCCAAGACGATTATGTTCTCTATTTAATTCTTCCTTTTGTTCATTTAACTTAAATCGTGCCAGTTAATTGACTCAAATCGTAAGTAAGTAATGACATTATCGATACGATAAGGGGTAACGTTTTCTGCCAGGGGCGTTAAACAAATGTTTTTTAATCCCCCTCGATTAATTCAAATCGATTCTTGCCAAGTGATTTCAAATTCACGCCATTTACGCAGGATCTCTCGTTCTCACGCGCAACATTTTTTTTTTCCTATTTTATAATCCACATGAAATCGACGCTGAATTGCGAATTGTTTCGTGAGCCATGTTTTTACGGTGATATCGACAGAGCTATCGGTTCTACACAGTTACGCGATACCATTTAATTCAGCCGCCTAGGCAATTTGCCAGAATGTATCGTCGCGGTGTTTCATCGTCACGAAGCATCACAGAATTCGAAGTAGCTCTCTCTCTCTCTCTCTCTCTCTCTCGATCAAGTCAAAGATTAATGGAACTAGCTTTAGGGAGTACAATGTATGCCGTCTCGGCAAGAACATTATTAATTATCCTCGGAAGTTTATTCAATCAACTATGAGATTCGTTCGAATTACTTTAATTTAAGATATGTATATAGCTCGTTATACATAAATTGTACAAAAAAAAGGTAACTGAAAATAAACGAAGAAACAAGAAACGAATCGAGAGTGGAACACCTCCCAGGTAAGTTATTACATTTTCAGCACCGTCCTGAAAACTTAAATTCGTTTCTCATGAGACTGGATGTTATTGAGGAAGGACCAAATTGATGGTGGTTAAGACAGCTCTGACAAATAGGCAGCATTAGTATCACAGATAAGATCGAGTCGTTCTAAACTAGATATGCATTTCCCTTCGTCGCGACTAAAAATGTTCCTCGATATGCAATTTGATTTCTAAATGTGGCAAAATTATTTAACGACCAAAGTATGTAGTAGCACTATGGATAGTTATTAACTATGAAACGGTTTTACAATCGCTATGTATGTGCTATCCTTTCGATTCATATATAATCCACCATGGAAAAGAGAAAGCACATAATAATGCAAAATTTAATGTAATTACGTTATGATTCACTGCTCGTTATTTCAAGCCCGGCTTAAAAATTCGAAAAGAGGTCGCGACTTCATTATCCCCGATTTAAACGTTCGTCCGCGTCCTCCAGCGTGTCTGACAATTAATCGGGAACGATTAGTCGCCCTAATTAATTTTCTTCGGAGCGTCGCCGTTAATTCCTCCTCGGAGAGACAACCTTATCCTTTATACGGACGCTAAGGCCGCGGTTGAGTGACAGCCAGTGCGCTCTCGAGATCGTCCTTACGATCTTCCAGCCGTCATGCTATTCGCGCGTCACGCGCTTTAATGGCAGCTATAGCTGCAGCTCGGAAACTTCGTTGGCATGCGAACGACTTTGTATGGTCTATCGACGGGTCTGTTGTTGCATTGTCGCAAACATCGTCCAACACGTAGAACGCAATATCGTAAGTGCGCGTCCGCGCGCGCAGTAAGTATATCGTCGTCACCGTCTCTCGGCGCACTTGTTCGTCGCACTTTGTTCTCGGGGTCAATAACACGCCGCGTATGACGGCGGCGGCCCCGCTTGAAGCGGATGGATTCTATGGAACCGCGAGCGATATCTACGGCCCGCGCCTGCCTCGTACCTTCGGTTCCTCGCGGGATCGTTAAAATATCGACGAGAGAGAACGCGCATCCAGTAGAACCGAGTTTCTCTCCCGCTCGATCCCTCGACCGTGCCGATCGATTATGCCTTGACGTCGGCGTCGCGTGAGAAATTTTTCGGTTTTTCCTTCCTGATATGTACGTTTCTCCTTTGTGGGACTCGAAGGAAACGCTACAATACTCCATAATTAATGTCTCGGCGGACAGCCACGCTGGGTGTTCCAGATTTCGTGGAATTAATAAGAACCCAGGCAAGATCTTTCGGTCGGAGCCGCGGCGGAAAGAATTGGTTCCCGACGGGATAATATCGGGTCCGTATCGGGCAACCCGATGGATTGCTACACGTACATTTGATGTTCGTTCAGCCGTACGAAAGTCCGAGGTAGAAACTCCATCTAGTCGGATATTGCAAACGTGTATTTTTAACCTTAGATCGTTTGAAATTTCTTGATGCCGACTACAGCACTGCAATGTTTGATTTAAACACACGCTAGTATATATTTTGAGGATTGAAATCGATCGACATAATTTCAAAGAAGTTTTTTTTATATCATATAATAGATGCAAAGACATATCTACTTTACGAACATTTTTTATACGCCAAAATAATGTTAATTTTATTTCCTGTTTGTATGCCATAAAACATGAGCGCATTATATTCGGTTTTGTTACGGTAACATGGAACGACATGTTTATCTCGATTTTATTCTCATTATGGAAATTTATTCTCATTAATTCTGACACACGATAATTAGGGAAGTTTAGATTTTAAAAAAGCGAAACCAAAATCTGATTGTCCGTATTTTGAAAACATCAAAATCGTTGAATATTTAAAGAATCCAGAATCAATTCTCTATATTGATTTTGTAAAATACTTTATTCTGGTTAAAGATGCATTTTTTATGACAAAGAGCAACCACTACCAAGATTAATTTTCTATATTCTGGAAATATAATATCTGAAATAGTTAAAAACTAGAATCGATTCTCTTATTTGATTTGTTAACACTATATATATATATATTTATTTTTGTTGATTTATATCTTCGAAACTGTTACGGATATTTCAATTTCGTTAATTACTCCTAAAAGCACTTAAAAGAACACACACTTCACTCTATTTCACTTTTTTAATTTTGTACTTAAGAACGAGGGTGCTAGCTTGACGAGAAACACGTCTCGTTTTAATCGCGAGTTCTCACCAAACGACTCAAGCATTAAAGTCAGGAATAGAACGCTAAATTAACACTTGAATAGTACTTAATTCTGATGTCAATTTTATTCTCGTTTTTTATGTTGAAGTTGATAGTTTAACAGAGATTAAAAATAACGAAGTATTTTTACAATTTGAGTCCCGAAGCTTAAACCGCAGTGCCTGTGATTGGCACTTCGGTAATGCGGTTCTACTCATCGACTGGCTGCCACTGACCTCGGCGAAAAATCAAACTTTCATCGTCCGCGAAAGCCACAACATGTTCAAGCACGAAGACTCATTTATCACATTCCGAGCCACGAAAAATGAACGTTATTTCTCGAAAACGGCAATCGATCTACGGAAACAATTGCGAATTCTCTCGAATTCATGGCGATCGCATGTTATATACTATAAACGTAATCATCAAATCGGTAAGAAAAATTCCATTTCATATTTATTTAAATTTATTTTCTATAATTTATCAGACGATTGTTAACGCGAATCGCAGAAATCATTTGTGTTTAGGATTTAATTTGAAACAAATGGTTAGAGATACCAGATAACATTTGAGCACCGTGATTTGAATACAAATTAAAGAGACTGAAGATGAAATGGTATGTTGATAAACGGCGTGAGAGACGGCCGCTAATGATAATTCCATATTCGGCAGCACGGATAGAAGGATCGTCAAGTGTGAAAGGGAGGATAACGATCTCGATTAAGTAATCGCACACTCAGCCTCGCGAAATGAAGCAGTATATCGGATTCCAACAGAATGCCGCTTAAAACATTTTATTTTTACGTAGCTCCGACTGATGCCAAGTATACTCTGCGAGACGTGAAATAACGCCACGATAATCCGGACTGTTATCGGAAACGTTTAATTCCGGCAGCGAGCTGACGAAGCTCGAAATCAAAATAGCGAGATCTCGCTATTCCGAAGCGGAACTATATGAATGCATAACTTGAATAAGATATCAATAACTTC